ATGAGTTAGGAAATATTTCTCATTGCAAAACTGCAAAATTGAGGAAATGTCCTAACTGTTCCAGGTCCACACTGAGATAAAACTAAGCCCAAGTTATGGTACTCATATGGGATGCAGAAAGCAGAGGTTCAAGTCTTAGCTCTACTACTCATGCCACCTCCAGAGTGAGTGCCCTAACCACTGGATAACAGTGTCAGTCTCTCTAACACTGGCCCAATAAACATCTCATTGTAAAACAGTTTCAAAAGGAGAGATTGAAATACTTCCCACATCGTGTTCATTAAAACATGCATATTACTTCTAAAAGTTTTGAGAATTCAGTATTTTTAATGAACACTCATTGTTAAAAAGAATTGCAACAAGCTCCATTATTAATGCATATACAAATAATTAGAAAAAGAAGGAAAATATCAGAAGACAAGCTGTAAGAGGAAATAATCCTACAATTAAGTGAAACATCTAAGATTATCTCCTGAATTTTTCATTTTGTCTCTAGAGTTTTTAATTCTAACAAATCCATAATAGTTGGTAAATTTATTATCACTAACATACAAGAGGGAATTCAGTCCAGTTCCTACTTAAATTATGGAAAAGGAAAATATAACTACAAAATATCATGTTCCTTTGCAGATAAGGGGGGGGGGAGGGTTGGAGTGGGGGTTGTTTGCTTACTTGTTTTGGTTTTTGGGGGGTATTTTTGTATTGCTGTATTTTGATTTAAAATGAAAAACATAATTAAGTTCAAAGATGTTCATGCATAGAAAAAATACTCTGATATTAATGCTATACAATCTTTCCTTTCCTTGTTTTTTTTTTTTTGTTTTTATTAATTCATCCCCCACCCCACCCTGTCTCTACCTTTGAGTCCCAAGCACCTTTTACCACAATATTCTTCATGCACTTTAAAGACAGGCAGAAGGTAAATTTACTACATAATGTTTTGGTGTAGACTTTAGGTGGTATTTTTTTAAAAAGGGTTTATTTCTGAAAAAAAGTATTTTGATATAGAAGTTAGTATGATCCATTGATATGGAATCCTGATGTGTACCTAACTAATATTTACATACCTAAAAATGAAATGGATTTTAATAGAAAGCAGATTAACTAAAATATGTTCAAAACTAAGACACTGGGAACTGAATATGTACATTAAATGGTCAGCATTTTTTAAACAAAGACTGGCAGAATTTCTAAATTGCCTTGTAGTTCCAAAGATTGAAAGAATGCTGCACAACACTGACATTAAAATTGCAGAAACAAAACATGCAGTAGGCATGTTTATTAGCTGGTGAATGCCTGATTTATAGTCAGATATAGCCGCCTAACCACCCACTTAAATTCTTTACAATCACTGGCCTGGAAAGATAGTCCTAGAGGCTTTTGTGTGATGCTCAGTTTGCTGTTATGTTATGCTACTGTAAGCTTCATGAGACAGGGCAGATAGTTCTAAGCTTTTCAAATGAGATCTTCTACTTAGAATTCAAGCAGATTATTATAATTCAAGCAAGCTATAATACAACAGTAGCTTACTCCTGAAAACAGGACTTCCTTTTTCCATTTGTATAATAAAAAACAGGACTAGAAAGAACTAGCGGCAAAAGATCTTTTAGGTTTGCACATAAAGTAAAGCAGTACAAAAATTTTCAATTATGGTATTCAACTATGGAGGAGAAAAGTACCTATATGCATGTGTATGTGAACATTTTAACACATGCAAACATCAGAAAAGCCACACTCAACTGCATGGCATTCTGTTTACATAATGAGGTAAAAATTAATGCCTTTTGTTGGAAAAAGTAATACATGAACTGGGAATCAAGTCTCAGCTTCTGAGGATTACAGATATTTCCAAACGAATTTTAGACTAAATCAAAAGACTTAAAATGAGGAGTAGGGATGATAGTATCTACTGGAAATCTTAAAACAACATTTCAAAATACACTATCAAACCTCGTATCCTCACAAAGCGTGGTACTGTATCAACTTTTACTTTAAAATAAATCATTTACCTCTTCTGTAATTGTTGTTCTTCAAGATGTATTATACACACATATATCCCACTTGTAGCTGTGTGTGCACCCAAATGCACCTGAGCAGTGCACTTTTAGAAACAGTCCCTGTAGGGGTAGGCATGTGCCCTGCCTGTCTTCATGCCTCTAATATTCCCTTCACTCCCCTGTCTCTTCACTCCAGAATGCCTGCAGCATTGGTTTCTGGCAGAGAAAGAGAAAGAGGAGGAGGATAGGTTATGGAATTCATGTGTGCACAACAAATCTTACAAAGTCATAGCAGAACTACGTAACTAGATAAAAATAACTATTTTATCTTGTTTGCAAGATTATACACATACACATATTCCACTTGGAAGTGATCTGTGCACAGCACTGCTCTTGACAATGGAATTTCAAAGTTTACTTGAACAGTGACTACAGCACATATTTTCTGAGTTCACAACAGATCTAGAGACCATTGTCATAATACAAACAGTAGGTAAAAACATGCATGGATAATCTTGTTACTAATCGGAAAATATCTGTAGCTTAAATGTTTCCACAAACAGTTATAGAGAGTTGGTCATTAATGGACTTAACTGTCAATTTGTCTGGAGCAGCTGTATCACAACAGAACTTTATGTAAAAGGTAATCTGTATAAAAATCCAGTGCAATGAGACTATCTAATCTTTCATTCTGCCAGCATAGGCCATGAACAACCTAAAAAATCCTCTGAAGACCTTTGCTTTGTACATGTAAAAGGCAAGGGCTCTATATATAGCCAACATACCTAATTTCTCTTCACTTTTTCTGGTGAAATATATCTTGGGAGCTTGAAGCACTCTCCTATTATTCTGGTAGAAGCTACAGTAATGAGGAATGCTGCTTGGCAAATCAGTGTTGCAAAGAACAGGTAACTATTGGTTCAAAAGCAAGTTCCATAAGCATCATGAATACTTTGGTCCTATGAAGAAGCTGAATTTGGATTAGGAGAGAAATGGCTGGTGACGCCTTTCAAAATAACTTTTCAACCAAAGAATACAAGAAAACTGAGCAACCTGTGAATGAAAATTAAGATTCCTTCTGGTGAAGTGAAGCGAAGAGTCTGATTCTAAAATGCACAGAAGATCCAAGGCTCCTATACACAATGTATGTGTTACCACTAACAATGGCATTGAGGTGGTTGTTGCACCACAATTAAGAGGATTAACATATTAACAAAGGCAATTTCAGCCAATCCAATTGATGCCACTCTCAGTGGTGTCAGTGAGAGGGTGGAGTGTGCCAAATGAAATAGATGCTATCGGGAAGGTTTGATAAGTTCAGAAGGTACAAGGGACTGTCAGCTGGAGGTCTACACTCATTTCATTGCTGAAATGTTAAGAATTTTTTCAGGCAAATGGTGACAGCTAGATGCCAAAGGATAATTTTGTGGACCTGAAAGTTAAGAGTCAAAAAGACTTAGAAGTGAAAGAGAATGATAACTCTTCTCAGAGTAGTCTTTTTCCTGCCTGAGGTGAACAAAGGCCTTTGAGTAAGGTACTGAAAGACCAGACTTTGCCTATGTGTCCAAGGTGAAAGATAACACAGACTTTTCTGCAAGCCATTTCCTGGGTTTCTACCAGCATAATTCTACGTCAATTGGAAGCACTGAAAATAAAATCAGTGTGCACACTTCGTACCAAAGCTACCTCTCAGACAAACTGTACACCTTTATGACTACTATATCTATTTGATTCTAAAATAAGTGTAGTTCCACCCCACCCCCCACTGAACATGGGAGGAAAAAGCCCCTTATCTTGGGATCATGCATGAGACAGAAGAGGGGCAAGCAACTGGTGCAGTTTGGCCCTGACCCAGGATTGGGGCCAGGGCTGTCTGATCCTGCCTGCCTCCTACACTGCCTCTGCCCTGTTACCTCTCACCCCAACAGCCTCGGCCCCTCATCTCCTTCCCCTGTCTTCACCCCGCCCCCGCCCTGCAGCCTCTGCCACCCTTCCTGCCTACCTACTTCCCCTGCCTTACACTCTGCTTACTCTTACTCCTGTGCCACAGGCTTTGTTTCCCATTACTACTGGGCCAGGCTGGGGCTGGGACTGGAGCAAGCACATGCTCCATACCCCAGGCTGGAGTAAAGATGGAGTCTGTAGTGCTGAAGAAAGGGTAAATGAAGTGGTGGTGGTGAGACACAAATTTAAGATGACCCCCCCAATAATTAGATTCTATGCATGGAAATGTGTGAGAAATGTAGATTTTTTTCAAGTTCAGAATCTAATTATTTAGGGCAGTCATCTGGGATTTGGGTAAATACGGTAATTATAGAACAGACTAAATGTATAAGAGATAGATCAAAACTCAGGTTCTAAATTACAGCCACATATAAAACGTGGATGTTCACAATAACATTGAGCTGATTTGTAGGGCTCTGCTGTGCATGTCCATCTCAAGTTCTATTCTGAATATGTATACTTGTATACATACTATATTGTATACATATTATATTTTTATACATCTTGAGCTCATGTGTGGCAACAGGGACATATTACTTTTCAGATAAAGATTCAATTTTCTACATTTCTGATCCATTTGTATGTCTACTTCCAATCATATATTGTAGAAGAAAGTTTAACATGAATTTTATGTTGTACTAGTGTCTTTTTAAAAACCCACTTAAATTTATATTTTGGATAGATTTTACTAATCACAGATGCTTTCGCAATTTCTTCATGTTCCTGCCAGATATACCATATAAATAATTTACAACATCTGTTCTACTCCTACGTTATTATCCATTACTCTCTGTACTTTTTAAAATCCTTCCTCTGAAGTCCAAATGACACATCATTTAAGTTAAACAGAGCCCAAAACCAAATGCTTTCACAAATGCACAACAGCTTATGTTACAAAAAAAGTTACTACATGTATAGAATATCTATCATTAAAAAGTTCAAGATTTTATGTTTTGTGCCATATATCTTTTAAAAAGATATACGGACATTAAAACTTACATCCCCATGTTCCTGGCTTCTGCTTCACTCAGATTTTCTTCAGGTCCAACAATTTTTATATTTCTGATAAGTTTCTTGGCTTTCTCCCAAAATTTCTTGATGTGCTTTTCATGATATACCTCCTATAATCATGTTAACATAACTGAAAATTAATGTAAAATACAAATTGTACTAACCCACATGTACTATAAAAACAAACAAACAAACAAACAAACAAACAAAGTCTCAGACTTCATTCTGCCCATTCTGCTTAGCCCATTCCACCCAGGCATATAGCTTGCCCGCTCTTGCAATCAACAGCCTTATGAGCCTCCAGAGGCAGCTCCTATTTCCTTGGGGATGTGCATTGTACCCTATTTTCTCAAAAGGTTGCATTAATGTAGCCTTTCCCAGCTCCATTATGTAAGGATTCATCTCAGTCCTGACAGCTAAGAGGAAAGAGACACTATTGTGATCCAACTGCTCAAAAGGGAGATCTCTATTGGGACCATATAATTAAATGATAGCAGTATTGATCTCAATACAAAGTAAATTGGGTCTTTTTTTGTTTGGGAAATGTATGTGGTTGTTTGACCCCTTTTGCCCATTAGCTTAGCAGTCAAAAGATATTTGCTCAAGAAGATGACCTGGTTTCTAGACCCACTTCACCATGAGTCTGATGAAACCACATCATCTATGTCCATGTGGCTAGGCTGACAAGGCTGAGCACATCCTGCCTATTGATGCCAGGCCACTGACCTATCAAGACTGAAAGACTCACGGGCCAGAAAGAGAATGAGGAGAGCTGCAACTTAATGTCCGAATGCAAACTGTATTCTGACAAGGAGTAATTAGAATACTGGCAAGTATCTTCAGGAAACGTTCAATTATCAAAAGTAAGCTCTCCTACTGAAGTATTTAGCAAAACAAATCAATGTGGGGCAAAAATAAAATCCATATTATTTCCACAGTTCTGGCATTTTAGGATTCATAAACTTTTCCACAATTCCACAGTCCTGTAATTTGATTAGCACAGATGAACCCTTATACTCATAGTCTCAATGAGAGCAGGGGGCTTCACGTGGAAGCAGGGGTTTTTCCCAGACATTTCTGATTGCAGGGTGAGAACTTAGAACTATATCAATTGCACAGAAGGATCAATATTTTGATCCTGCGCTCAGACACTCATTCTTGGCCCAGAACTCTCTCACTTTGGTCTTTAGCAATGCTTGTGTCCCAGCTGGAGGACGTGACTGACTGACTACAGATGAAATCTTGCCCAGCTTACATAGTAGTTAGGAAGTCTGAGCTGACCCAAGCCTCAGAGGCAGAGACATCTCCTCTGTACCCTGGCTGACAAGAATGGGTGATTATGGAAAGCACAGGATGGATATGCAGATGGTCACATGTACACAAAGACTCTCACTCCACATTGGTAAAACAGATTTCAGATATCTAGAAATGCACCAAATATTTGTAAATTCAACATTTGCTCCCACAAAAATGAAATTACATTAATTTCTCTTGATGTCTAGTTTCCTTAGCTATGCCTTAGCTCTCTTCAGAATGTACTTTTTTTCATAAAAAGAATGGATGACAAGTTTCCTGTGAGCACTTTAAAAGCTTTACTACTTTATAACCTATATATTTTTTTTATAATTCCCTCCCAGAAGTATGCTTTAACTTTGAGGGCCAGATTCAGCTTTCTTAGTCCCTCTGAGATCAACAGGACCCTAACACCCAATTAAAAGCAACAGAACTTTTATGCTTTTCCAGCAAGCCCTTTAAACTCCCAATATTTTAAAGTTGTGTGTACATCAATACATTACATTCATGTTTAATGCTCCTGAAGTCAATAGTGCAGAAGTCTTTTCAGAATCAAGGTCTCTGATGTTTAGCAAACAGCACTCTAAAAGTAAAAAACTACTTAGCTCTATTTCTCTCTTTCTTTCTGAAATATAGATGCAAGTTCAAGACTCTTTCACTTTGAGCCCAGGCACCTCATGCAATAGACTCATACGGTATACAGCATGAGCTCCAACACTAATAAAATACCATTAAAGTTCAGCAAGCAACTGAGGATCAACTATGATTTTACGTCACCTTGCGCATTCCCAAGAGGCATTCACTTTAACGTGCAATTTGTTTTGCAGAGTGAGAGAGAACTTCTAGGCACTTGAATTAAGGTTCCAGAAAGTACCTTTTGAATTTCACAACCTATTTTAGAATTTAAAAATTAAATTAAAAATTAAATTAAATTTAATTAAAACTGTTGCCCCTTCAATTAAGTTGGACTACTTTATATTTTCCCATTGCTCTTTACCATGTGATAAAGTGTCTTGATTGTTTTTCCTCTGAAGTATATTTATATAAAGACATGAATATATCTTTTATTCACCTGCAATTTCTTAAAATTAAGAACTTCTCACAAAACTTAGACACTACTTACGTTATTATGAATGAAGATGTTAAGTGGCTCCATTGGATAATCCAGAGTCAACAGTCTGTCTAAAAATTTAGGTAGGAAAGGAGTTGGTTGTTCAATGAAAATGCCAATTGTTACCTTTGGATATTCCTAAAAGGAACAACATGTTGACACTAAATAATTCTAGTAATATTAGCCTTCTCTGAGATTATTACAGTACAAGCTCAGACATGTTTTAAATACACCTGAATTAGGCCATGTATTAAAAAGAAAAAGAATCCCAAACAGTCTACTCATTATCTGATATTACTATACATACTACGATAGGCTCCTTATTAACCAAAAACAGCTTTAAAATCTACTTATTTTCTCTCCTACTTGCTCACATTTAAAAGTTTCACAGTAAGCTTTAAATTATTGATATTAAAGAAGTATCAGAGAAACAGTAATATCTAGAAAATATTTATAGTATTGAAAATGAATTGCATTAGGTAATTGTGCAAACATGTACAGAACATATTTAAGTGACTGCAGAAAAATATTGATTTTGTCCATCTATAACATAACTATTTATTAATGGATAGAAAGCAGCCAAGGACTGCAGGGTAACAAAGAATCACTACTCTACTTTCCTATTAATAGGCACATACACAGAAAACCATTGATAATTCAGGTGAAGTTGGCAAAAAGTGTTTGCACTTCTTTGATCAAACAAATGTATACTTGGACTTCTCACTAGCATCCAGCATGCCAGAGCTATTTTTGATCTGAAACGTGCACAAACAAAACTAAGCAAATTATTTGTACACGGTTTAACAATGGTCCTTTATTAGTGTAAAAATACTAATTTATTAATAAAAACAGAAGTAAAGAGAAGCATTAAAAACTGGTTTATTCTAGTCATATAGCAAGCAGATTTTTAAATTTTTCTTCTTTTGAAGTCATATGTTTTATAAAAATAATACCATTCCAGGCCTTTGTATACTTATATAAACAGATCACCATCACTAAAATAAAACTAAATCACTGTTTTGTCCATAACAGGTTTTCAGCTGAGATACAGAAATGCAAAGAAATTTACCAATATCAAAAAAATAATAATCAAGCCATTTCTTTTACCTCTAAACCAGACAGTAAAAATAAACAGAATTTTAAAACTCACTGTAATAGACTTTAGACAGAAACCAAATATGAACATAAAAGGCTCTGACTTAGTTCTCTTCAAGCAGGTTACACCCACTTGTAGCATGTCTGGATAAGAGATCAGGACAAGCTGAAATTTCACAATGTCACTCTTTGTACAGGAACTCCAGAAACATACTGGCATGTTTTCCAGATAGGAAATATTAAGTATGTTCTTCATACCCATGTTTACACAGCCTGCCTACCATTCATGGCTTCACTTACAAATCTATTTAGTTTCATTTCAGTTTGCATTCAAACATGGATCCTAAATATAAACAGTCAAAGAATGATAGTCATAACTTTTTTAAAAAATGGGATCTCCTAACAGGAAATGTTCTATTGAGAAGTGTGTTGTGGCAAGACATAGTGTTGGTTACGAGAAGTGAAAATTTCCTGGGGAAATAGCATATGCTGCAAAAAAAGGCATCATTAATCCAAGCATTTATAAAAAGCACAGGCAACCATATGAACTCTGTATATTTTTCAAATTCCAATGAATTCTCCCAGGGGGACTGAACTTTAAAGCAGCTTCCAATATGCTCCAAGAAGGAAGCAACAAATTCAAAACAAACCTACCCTTCATTGTAGGTAATATTTACCCAACAAACGATCAACTGTTTGGTGCAAGTCAGAGGCAAAAATAAACACTCATCAAAAGATGTTATCACACCAACAGAACAGCAGAGATATACATACTGGTACAGTACAACTGTTTTGAGCCTAAATTGTTAGCTTTTATTTTCTCTTTGTTTATTTTCCCTTTCCCTTTCCCTGTTTTTACCCTGGTTTGAATACCTACAGCAGTGGTCACCAAACAGTCAATCTCAACTGACTGGTCAACTGGGGAGCCTCTGACAAGCTCTCTCAGTCTATCAGAAGCTCCATGATCAGGAATCGCAGGACAAGTGGCTGGGCTGAGCCATGCCCCCTGCCACCCAGGCCAGTCTGGGTGACTGGGGTCAGAGTCCAGGCAGCTTGTCCGGGGAGGGGGGTAGGCAGCAGCAGTAGGTCCTGGGGTGCTGTTTACTTACAAGAAGTGATATTCACCATAAAAAGGCTGGAGACCACTGGCCTACAGTCTGAAGAGCGTGTCAAACTCAGATCTCCAAACAAATGCTCTAACAAGCTGTCAGGAAAAAGGTGGATGACACCACTTATCACTACTGTCATGTTCTTGAGTGACAGTGAACATGAGCACCATGCTGAACTAGTATGAGCTTGGAATATGCTGAAGACTCCAAACAGAACAAGTCCCTCCAGAGACTTAGGGTACATAAAAGCATTACATTTAGATCAACCCAACCAGAACTGGATCAATCAAAATGCTTATTTGTGCAGGTGTTTGAAAGACTTAAATCCACTCAAAAAATGGTGCACCCAATCTAAGTTAGTTCACCTCAGTTAAATCAACTTTGGAGTGATAAAGTGTTAACCCAATCTACTAAGAACTAACTGGCAGGGAGCTGGCAGGTGTTATTGCAGGGCCCTTGGCATGGCTTTACAAGTGCTCGTGGTGCTTGGGCCAGGTGCCGGATGATTGGAAGGTAGCCAACATGGTCCCCATCTTTAAAAAAGGGAGGAGGGAGGACCCAGGCAACTATAGGACCTCAATCCTAGGGAAACTCTTTGAGAAGATCATCATGGAGCACATCTGCAATGGGCCGGCTTCCGGGATGATGCTCAAGGGCAACCAGCACAGTTTCGTTAGGGGCAGGTCATGTCAGACCAACCTGATTGCCTTTTATGATCAGGTCACAAAAGCCTTGGATGCAGGAGTTGCCGTGGATGTAGTCTTTCTGCACTTCAGCAAGGCCTTTGACAC